CACGCTGATCCGTTCTTGGTCCTTCTCTATAAATATACGTTCTCTGCCACGGAGACAATTATCAGCGTTTTTGACAACTAATACGTATTTCAGCATTGTCTAATGTAAACGCGCCGTAAATGTAAACAGCTGATAAAGGAATGCCAGAAGATACAAAGAAGCAACGACCGAAAAAAAATTTAAATTTCCGATAAATAAAAATTTCCGATAAGGAACCCTATATTGTGAATTTTTTTATATTATAAATTTTTTTAAGGTACGGCAACTGTGTTCCTATTTTTTATTTTTGTTTTCATTTCCACTTGACAGTTTTGACATTTGATTGACCATAACCCAAAAACCTTGCTGGATGCAAACTTTGCGTCTTCCTCCCGATCCTGTCGTATAAATTTACAGCGTGAAGTTTTTATTAAGCAAATTATTGCCATTATTCATAAACATGTCTGCTAGCCCTTCAGTGATTTCAGTTAAAAGCGCCGATGAATATAATGCGTTGATCAAGTAAGTTGTTTTGCCCTGCTATAAATTGTATCTTGCTGCTACTTTCGATATACGATGGAATCATTTTTACGCTTAAGTGCCGAAAAAACCACAGTGGTGCTCTTTACCGCCGATTGGGCTGAACAGTGTAAGCATGTGCAAGAAGCGCTCGAGGAGCTTGCCAAGATTTTGAGCGCAAAATTACAGTTTGCTAGCATAGTGGCCGAGAACTTTCCGGAGATATCTATGAAGCACCAGATTGAAGCAGTGCCCACCATTATTTTCTTCACTAAAGGCACAGCCGTGGATCGCGTAGATGGTGTTAATGTAGCTGATATCACTGCCAAGTGTAAAAAAATTGGCGGCTCCGTAGCCGGTGAATCGTTGGAAGATCGCTTAAAGGCGCTTATCAATAAAGCTGATCTTATGATATTTATGAAGGGCGATCGTAGTGCGCCGCGTTGTGGGTTCTCGCGTCAGCTAATTGAGATTTTAAATGCAACAAAGTATGTATTATGCAGTATTTTTGATTCCATTTATAAACCTTTTTTTATTCTAGTATTCCTTATGAGACTTTCGATATACTGAATGACGAAGAAGTTCGCCAAGGTTTAAAGACATACTCCGATTGGCCTACATATCCACAAGTGTATGCTAAAGGAGAGCTAATAGGTGGATTGGATATAATCAAAGAACTAAAAGCTAATAACGAACTAGAGACTGCACTAAAAGGCTAAATTTGAAAGCGCATGACTCACCGACCTTCATACACACATAGAAAGTCTTATTTATAAATAAAATTGGCAACTGGTTTTTAACACATAATAGCTTCCAGTGTTTTCAATTGAGAATCAGATGAATGATGGACTCATCAGCGTATTACCACTAAGGATAAGCATAAATACACTTAATTAGTACAACAAAAAATGATTATTAATAAAAAGGCGCATATGCTTTACACGTTTAATATGTAGATACAATATGTGGATGTAGTAAGCACATATGTAGATACATATGTTTAAAACATTAGGCTTATTGACAAGTGGTCACTTGTAACATTAGTGTACCGTATGAAATGCGGAAGGCATACCTCTAATTCGTTTAATTATTCCAATACAAATTGTTTGAATACAGCGATGGCTGTGTAGCTACAGGCAACAGTATTATCCAACCGACAAATCCAATAATATAGCAAATAATAAGTAAAATTCGGCGTACTAAATGCTGCTGCCATAAGTCCTGTACGTCAGGTAAGCCCATATGATTGCAAAATGCGTGCACAAGGAAATGTGCAATAAAGTGACCTGTACGTGCGAACAGGAAGGCTGAGTAAAATCCAAAGATTGTTGTGTATGTTAGCTGAAAGCCTAATAAAGAAGTAGGAAGCGATTAATATGGTGTAAAAACTTTTAAGTTAAAATAGTTTAGCTTACAAGATATCACTAAGGCAGTCTTCAGTTCCATGCCTAAGCTAAGACGCTCGGCGATGTGATGTATGTGCGCTGTGCCAAAGAAGAGTGGCGTTATGAAGACGGACGTCAATGGGGAAAAACTCTGCAATATCAATGGCATCATGCATGCACGAAAAACGAATTCTTCGCTCAATGGTGCCATTATATGATTACGTATCCAAAGTATATTTTTGAATGACCCAACCCAAAAGTCCATATCTTTAAAATATGAAACATACTATGTGAAAATGCTAACGTTTCTAACCTTTGTACTTACCCATATACATTTGAAGCGACTCATTTTGCATCTGGACACATAATGGACCCAAAAACAAGAGCATAGTTAGCAAATACGGTATTGCAATGGCTGGAAATAGTCCCTGCCAACGCAGACCCAAAAGTTCTGGAAACGATGCACGTTCCAATAACTGGGGCGACGAAAATTTGTATACAAAAAGTGGAGCTACTAACATTACAACAGACACGCTAAAGAAACGCCGTTTTACTGTTGCTGGGTGGTCACGATTATGCTTTGTGCTCCATACATATAAACTGGCGACATATACTACAGATAGTATGAGGCAGCAACTCACTGAGGTTACAATCGGTATGTGCGGCAAATTAAGAGGGGTGCCAGCTGTGCCATGGCTACTGTTGCTTTCGCTGCTTTCATTCATGGCAGGCGATTATCCTTTTTTATGACCGTTGGAATTCCTGAGTGCCGGTGGAATTATTGAAAGCAAAACTTAAATTTTTTCTTCATATGTGACAAGTTTCTACAGTGGTCCAAAGTTTTCGCAAAATAAAAAATAAAACAAGAGGCAAAACCTAAACAGCTGTTCCGGATGGAAGTTGCCTTATCTTCTAAAAAAAAAGTTTTTAAATAGACACTTTTTGTTATGGTAAAAACATAACAGGGTAAAACCATTGAGAGACAGCCTGACGTGTGCCAGCAATTTAATTTAAAAATTAAAAAATCCTAAAATGAATGTGTTTCGTTTTTTATTTTGGACTTTGATATACCATAAAAAATGAACAAAGCTGAAAATTAAACATTTTGCGATTTAAAAGTACAGAGAAATGTTTATAATATCTAACAATTTGACAATTATTGACCAAAGGTATTAAGAAATCAAATCAGATACCCCACACTTGCTACCAGTTGATTACGATGTATTAAAACGTTAAAAAAAAGTTTACATATGGGTACTTCCATACGCCACATACGTGACAGTCGTTTGTTTTAATGAGACTTCTTTGGACCCTTTTGTAGCAAATAACGAGCTCTATATGCAACTCAAAAAAGATAATAATCCAACCGCATAGTCCTTAAATATACGCAATTGAAGAGAGTAACGCTATGTGACAAAAATTGGAAGTTTATTTTTTCTTTTATTACAAAATCGCAAAACTCTTTGCGAATTGTGGATGGCTCTTTTCGTGAAACTTAATTTAATATGATTTGGAGTAATTCTAGTTGTTTTAGAGATTTTTTAATCAGTGCAATTTGTTTCAATTTTCTTTTACAACCCCAAGTGTGAAACGTTACGTGACATGGCGAGACGTGACATAAATTTCCATTGTGATATTTTGTTAATATTGCTTTTAAATTAATTTTAAACGCAAATAATACATGCATTTTTAACCGCGGTGCCAATTCAGGGCATTTTTTTTTTTTTTTTTGGAAATCTATTATCTATTATATGTTTCAACTACATACGCCAACTTCGAACCACATCGTTCCATAAATACGGTTCTTCAAATATCTCGACTCCGGCGCCACCTAGCAAGACCATTTAAAAAAAAAAAGGCTGCTGCTTATATAACCAGTATATATATTTAAAAAAAGAAACAGACAAATTGGCCCATCTAGATACTCATATGACATTCATTTTTTTCGCGGTAGACTTTCCGATGGAAACACCCTTTTCTAGATTGGAGGCGGATGAAAACGATCGATAGCGCAAAAAATAAAATCGATAGTGGCCGAGAAATTTACCAGCAATAATATTCGATAGTCATATCGCTTATATTGCAGCNAAATATACGCAATTGAAGAGAGTAACGCTATGTGACAAAAATTGGAAGTTGATTTTTTCTTTTATTACAAAATCGCAAAACTCTTTGCGAATTGTGGATGGCTCTTTTCGTGACACTTAATTTAATATGATTTGGAGTAATTCTAGTTGTTTTAGAGATTTTTTAATCAGTGAAATTTGTTTCAATTTTCTTTTACAACCCCAAGTGTGGAAAGTTACGTGACATGGCGAGACGCGACATAAATTTCCATTGTGATATTTTGTTAATATTGCTTTTAAATTAATTTTAAACGCAAATAATACATGCATTTTTTAACTTCAGTGCCAATTCAGGGAATTTTTTTTTTTTTGGAAATCTATTATCTATTATGTTTCAACTACATACGCCAAATTCGTACCACATCGTTCCATAAATACGGTTCTTCAAAATATCTCGACCCTGGCGCCATCTAGCAAGACCATTTTTTGAAAAAAAAGCTGCTGCTCATATAACCAGTATATATATTAAAACATAAGAAACAGACAAATTGGCCCATCTAGATACTCATATGACATTTATTTTTTTCGCGGTTCTTTCCGATGGAAACACCCATATCTAGATTGGAGCGGATGAAAACGATCGATAGCCCAAAAAATAAAATCGATAGTGACCGAGAAATTTACCAGCGAAAATATCCGATAGTCATATCGCTTATATTGCAGTACTATGAGGTACACACGAATTTTATTATCTGTTCAAAATTAAATATATTTTGATTAATGTGCGAAGGTTTAATTAATGAAATACATTTGCAGCACATTGCCATGTCCAAGCCATCTATACTAATAATAGAACCATTTTATGGAGGTAGCCACAAACAGTTGATTGATACAATTATCGAATGTGAGTAGCGAGCAGCACAGTGCCGGCCCCGGCACTTCCGCAGCATTGTCGAATCTATGATAATTTTTTATAGTATACTTTGTAATTATTGTATGTGTATATAGGTTTANTGATTGATACAATTATCGAATGTGAGTAGCGAGCAGCACAGTGCCGGCCCGGCACTTCCACTTCCGCTGCATTGTTGAATCTATGATATTTTTTTATATACTTTGTAATTATTGTATGTGTATATAGGTCTGAACATCTGTGACTATGAAATATTTAGTCTACCAGCCAAAAAATGGCATTGGCGTGCACGTACCGGAGCCCTGTACTTCTCGCAAATCATACCAGCAGACCATGACTACAAAGTGCTCTTCACCAGCTCGGTACTAAACCTTGCCGAGCTGCTGGGGGTGCGGCCGGATTTGGTTAGCTGTAAGAAGATTGTATATTTCCACGAAAACCAGCTGGTTTACCCAGTGCGTGAGGTGAAGGAGCGTGATTGTCAATATGGTTTGAATCAAATACTTACATGGTAAGTTTTATTAAAAAATAATTTTTGTAACAATACTCACTTTCACTTTCTTATACATATGTATGTATACAGCCTTGCAGCTGATAATATCATCTTCAACTCGAATTTCAACCGAACTTCCTTCTTGGATAGCATCACACCTTTCCTCAGTATACAACCCGACTTTAAAATGAAGCATATCCGCGACAAGATTGAGAAAAAGTGTGAAGTTCTGTACTATCCTATTAAGTTCCATGCCTTCCCCAATAAACGACTGATGATCGG